CTGACCGATCGCTGCTATCTGTCGCATTCGTCACATGCGTCACATGCGACTGATCGGTCGCATGCGACGGATGCGACGGATGCGACTGATGCGATCGAGTCCTTCCCTAATTTAGCAATAGGCCCCCAACCGACCAGGGTCCATTCAGGTTCCACAACGTACGTACGCAGAAAATCTAAAATCTATCGCTATACTATAATCTTAAATGTATAAACCAGTGACACAATGTAGATAATGCTTATTAAAATCGATAAATTTAGGTATTTGTTTTTCAATAAATTACTACTTTAAGAGAAATTGAATCAAACATACCTGATATGTAAGAACGTACGACGTACGTATGTACGGTATGAGAAAATATCAGATATCTGTGTTATGTAAAATTCTTTAAAGATTTCCTTTTTTGTTATGTGGCACTTTCAAGAATATGAAAAATCAAAAAATAAGATATATTAAAGCATACCTGCACGAATGAATTTGGAAATACGCCAGAAAACAAACTTTATATCATTAGAGATAAACTAATTTATTATTAATCAAACTTTAAATCATTAGAGATAAACAAATTTATCATTAATAAAGATATTTCTAACGTTCAATAATCATATTCTTGGCATATCTCAAATAATAAACAGTTCAATATTGTTTCTCGGAATATGATTCCTATACAATGAGATTTGAATCTTATTTCATTGATAACATTAAATTCCAGTAATTTAATATAAATACAAGTTCATGACGATACATTAATTAAAAGTAATTCTCATTTGCTTATTATTAAACAAATAATTTACATTTACTATATTTATTATTAAACATTTATCATGCCTGAACAAATTAAAGAGTTGATTGATAAAAATAAAACATGGGTGGATGATAAAAATGCCACAGACCCTAGTTATTTTGAAAACCTTGCAAAAGGTCAAAAACCAAAATTTATTTGGATAGGTAAGATCATAAGACGATGCTTATCTTTTTAATACAATCGTAAAATGGACAAAATATTTCAGTTAGCATATTTGTTACTACTGTATTGCTCATAATAATAATGCGTCTGTCGTGATGTCAATCAATTATACATAACTATAGATTGTTTGGTAATTCTTTATATCTAATTTTAAATTATTTTACCCATAGGTTGCTCTGACAGCAGATTTTCTCCGGAATTAATAACAAAATCAGACCTTGGAGAAATTTTCGTTCTTAGAAATATTGCTAATCAATTTAATACTACCGACTTGAATGCATTGTCAGTATTAAAATATGCAATAGAGTACCTAGAAGTCAGACAAATAATTGTTTGTGGTGTGTGATTTTAAATTCAATAAATATTATTAAATATCATTAAATATTATTAATCTATTAAAAGTATAATACAATCTTACATGTTTATAGGTCATTACAAATGCGGTGGTATTAATGCGTCGATTAGTAAGCATTTATTAAGATATTTTATTCGGCTAAATTAAATGATTTTTTTAAAAGACTTATCCCTTTTTATTACTGTATTCACATAGATAACTGTGGTCATGGTGTCATTGATCATTGGCTACAAAGTATCAATGAAATTTACTTATCTAACAAGCTTCAACTAGATGATAAATCAGAAAAAGAACGCGAGAACCTTTTATCTGAACTTAACATCAAAAAACAAGTTCAAAATATTTCTACAACAAGCATTGTTCAAGATGCATGGAATAAAGGTTATAACATCGTTATATATGGATTGGTTTATGATCTAGAAACTGGATTAATTAAAAATCTTGATGTTGACTACAAGATATTTTCTCAAATTATTAATTTAAAGCATACCGCAGAGATCTCTTCCTGGATTGATCGACGTGAATCTTTATATGATATTGCGGAAATTCCATATACTTTCAAACTACTACTTAGAGGTAGCAAAGATGGATTTACATATGAAAAGTTTCATGAGCTTTGTGATAACAAACCTCGTACAGTGGTCGTTATGAAAGTTAAAAATTCAAATGAAATACTTGGTGGATATAATCCTCTTAGTTGGATGCGTTATGATGGCAAAGATCGGTGGGATAAAACGACTGAAAGCTTTATTTTTTCTTTAAAAAATGAAAATCAAGAAAATTCTATTCTTAGTCGTGTAACGAATCCAGAAAAAGCAATTCTTACTTATTCTGAAAAGAATGGTCCATGGTTTTATCATTTTGGAATGAATGATAAATTTTCACCTCAAAAATGGCAATATCATTATATGTACGGTCATGATAAAAATAATTATGATATTAAGATCAGATCCACCGATGGTTATTTTTCCGTAGATGAATATGAAGTATTTCAAATTATTTAAGGCACTTTCGATAAATAAATTTTATTATTGATTCAAGTCTGTAATATAAAGTTTAGTTTATTAATTGAACGGTGCAATGACATCTTAAATTTAATTGAACGTCATATGATAACTTATCCTAACTTTACATTTTTCTCCGTAACATCATTATGATAAATTACTGTATTGCATTTTGTGTAATATGTTCGAATCTATAACTTGTCAGATTTTGCAGATACCGGGAACGGAGTGATATGAGTGCTTGAGAGTGAAAATCAGGAAATACATTTAATGATTTATTACTCTCATGCACTCATATGTAAATATCACCAGGAACGTAGTACAAAGTACGGAGTGTATGGTTAAATTCGAGTTTTGCGTTCATCCACAAAATCTTGATTCTGATTGGATGTAGTAATAACCCAAATTCCTGTTGACCACATATAAAATTTTTATACCAGTACCAGGAACGGAGTGAAATGGTGTGTGCGATTCTTAGCATATGATTGGGTTATCCTTCATCGTGACCTTGTGTAGCACCCCGAACAATACTTTAAAAGGTAGGTACCAGGAACGAATGCCTCTGTACACAAAGTCTTGGAGTTGATTGGTCCGCGTGACTTATTCATGGTTTAGTAAAAAAAAAAACTTATAAATGAGCACGTACATCTGTAAAATCAAAGATGCAATAACAAACAGTAGTAAAAATAATTTTTTTGGCACAAAAATTAGTGACCCAATGTAAATTTAAAGTCCTCAATGCTAAATATTTTGTGTAATTTTCATTTTTTCATCGAATTTTTTATCGGGCAGATAAAATGATAATCACTGATCGTCAAAGACTTAATCGAAAGAATTTGTCGATCCTTTCTAAATACGTAGACATGTTTCGTAGATTTTAATGTTTTTTGCAATTTTGGGTCAGGTTCATCGGAATTGAGTGATGCTAGCTAACCAACTATATAGCAGTCAGACATTGACTTCATTAATAGGTTTTTAGGCTCAGTTACTAAAACTCAACCCAATATTCAGATTGCAAGTACTATCAACTTCTTTTATAAAGTGACATTTTCTTATACCAGGAATGGATTGCAATGAAGAATATGATTTCCCGTGACTGAAATGGTGTCTGCGTAGATTTCTCCTGTTCCTGGTTTCGCGCGACAACGTTGCGCAGCTACTTATTGATAGCTCTTCAATGAGATCAGAAGATTTTATCGCTGATCCGATCTGCGTTTTTATGTTTCTGTTTTGGATTAGTCTAATATTTTTCTTAGAATTGCCATAACCATACGTCTTCAAATATCAGCACCTATAAACATATATTAATTTTTGCGTTTTATGTCAACTGATGCATTCTACATCAATTGTAACATCTACGTCATTATAATACTTTTGACGTGATGACACATAAATTGGACATAACCATACGTCTTCAAATGTCTCATCTATAATATCTAATCAAAACTTTTATAATATATAATACTAACCATTATCTTACGTTCCTGGTTTTAGTGCGACAACGTCGCACAGCTACCTTATTGTTATAATCGAATTGATGGTGTGCGCCTGAGTTTAATTGGATGTTAAAGATGGGTGTGAATGCATATCGAGATCTTCACATGTCAGTAGCCTATATTTGATACATTTGTGTACCCTATATCGTTTTTAACAGAAAACGGGTGTGCAAAGTAATGTGGCAAGTCAAGTGTTTCTGTACAAATACATGCTTAGAGATCTTACCAGGTCGTGTCAAATATTTGTATGGGATAAAAATAAGACTTCGGATAATACTAATAAAGGTACGAGTAGAGAAAATCGTAACCTTTCAGACATTTTATTGCTTTAAGCTTTAGCATCCAATTACAATATAATATCACATATTATAACATGAGCTGGTCAAATTAAAACCTGTAAGTACCCTAAAAAGATTATAATATTGCATATAATTATTTTAGAGTATTATGGGTTTAATTTGACCAACCTCATATATAAATATATGTGAATTTTTTTATAATACTATATATTAATTTTAATAAATTTGTCTTTTTAAATACTCTGCATTTTTTTAATAAGTTGGTTTATAATACAGTTATTCTTGGGTTATATCTTCACTGGGTTATATTTCTTCTATTTGGTGTTTTAGTTATATCTTATCTATTTGTTGCTTTAGTTATATCTATATTTAGACAGAATAAATGTTTTTTTATATGTTTTATATATTGAGTTATATTTTAACTTAGTTTTTTTTTTTTGGTATTAAGGTGACCTCTTTGGTCTTTTGACTTTTATTAATCACTTATCAGTATTGTAGTTCAA